AATAAAATTACATAAAGTAAAGATATTTCACCTCTAGAGCCGGCCAAAGGATGTTGATCAATGCTCTGATACCAAATGATAAGCGCCAAGGTTGCTCGGGTTTACAAAGCTAGAGGTCCTTCTAGGATCGTTGCAAGCATTCACAAAAACGACTAACTTACCGAATGATTCCAACAAAGAGTAAGGTTAGAAGATGAATCACTCTTAGATCGGACTTAGAATCTACGATGGTCACTCCTAGATCCTAAGACGACTCACTCCAGAATTTGCTTGATCACTAGTCCAATGAATCGGTTTAACATCAAACCTAAAGCAAGATTTGAAAGAAGCAACACCAAAAGTGTTAAGGAACAAAAGTTCTTGAATTTCAATATGTTTAATCTGCCAAAACAAGGTGATTACAAGCCTTTAAATAGGCCAAAGGGTCGTTCAACATGAGGAACACCAAAAGTCTTTCAAATCCTATTTAACGCAAATTGTAGAAAATAAGACATGCAAATTAAAACATGATTGCACATCAAGCTTGACAACTAAATGTGAATCCAAAAACGTAGAAGTGCTTTAAATTGTCTTGGAAATCATATGTAGGAGGCGTTTTACGTTTGGATGAGATTTGACAAGCTTTGACATCACAAACTCCCAAGAGGTGCAATCTGCAAAGGCACCTGTTCACCAATCTGCACACTTTTTTTGTCCTCCGTGCCATCTCTCAAAATAGACAACTTTTTCCGTGCCATCTTTGCTCCATTCTCTTCTTGACTCATTAAATTAACATTGTAAAGAATTTTGGCCTCAGAAATCTTTGTCTCCTCGTGTGCATTAGCTAGCCTTTGAAGATGTATTATGAAAACATCTTGAATCTTCTTTGCTTTGCTTCTTGTAATTGGTCCCTCGAGTACATTCAATGGATCCGTGGTTGGATTTGCATCAACTGTGCTTTCTATCATGTCTGAAAAAATAGCTGTCATGTATCTCTTGAAGGTAGCAGGAGCATTACAAAGACCGAACGACATTCTCTGGAACGCAAATGTCCCATAGAGACATGTGAACGTCGTCTTTTCTTGGTCCTCCGGAGCTATAGTAATCTGGTTGTAACAAAAATACCCATTGAGGAAACAATAGCATTCTTCCCTGC